ACCACAAAGTTACTATTTTTCCACTCTATAGGTGACAACCACCAGAGATGATTTGATGACTCATTTCATTGATCTCTAGACTTTGAAAGAAGATCTAAATATTGCCCACCTCATTCTTATCCAAAAAGAGCTTTAGAAGCTATGGACACTACACAATGATCTTCTCAAACACTTAGGATTTCAGTGCATCGACGATGCATCGCCATTGTGACATCGCAACTCTCTTTTCTTACTTTTAACTTAATTTTCACTTCATTTAGTAATAATTTGTATGATTTAAATTTACTAAGCTATACTTCATTTAATTATGATTCTTCTGACTTTATCTTAATTTGATCAATTAAATCGTCTATAATGACTTATGTAAGAATCATCGAGTGGAATTTTTTTCCATTCGATTCACATTCATTGGGTGTTGACGTCATCCTAACGTCTACATCCTTATTTCCTTTTTTTGTAAATTTTAAATATATTTTACTTTCATTTCTTGATATACAATTCATAAAAAAAATTATTTTTTGAAAAAAAATTAAAAACCTACCCAATATTATATTACATCCCTGTGATTGACTTGAAAAATTATCACTATTTTTGGAAGTTTTATTAAATTATAATTGATATATTTGTTCAAAAATACTTCTAAATATCCAAAAATTAGTATTTTCTAGTTTTATAAATTTTAAATTTACGTGATTTACTATACAATGACTAAGTCACACTAATAGTGTCATCTAGTGTGTTCAATGAACCATATCATTAGATAAGCTAGATCCTACGATAGGCGAGCTACTATGATGCTAGATGTGTAAAGTAATCCATCTATGGTTCATGAGTCCAATGCCGCTCAACACACATGTGACCTTAAATGATGATCCTATGGCTAATGAGGCAACCACAATACCAAGGTCTTATGTTCTTGATCAACAATAGTTTGTGGTGGGTTGATTTCTTGTTGTCCAATGCATCATGTGACCAAACATATCTAATCTAGTGGCTCTCGAAGTGTCATGATACTGGAAACTTAATTTCTCACATGTATCACAGTCAAAGATATAAAGATAATAATAAATTATTATATAGTAAAATAGACATTATCAATTATCTTTAAAATCCCAATAGTAGTTACGAATACGGCAATCCATTCTTCCCTTCTTTCATGCAATCAACACCTCTAGCAATCAACAAGCTCGTCCCTTCCTCCTCTAATTACACTTAAGGCCTCCGGTGAGTGGTCAGCTCTTTCTTTCTCTCCCTAGACAATGGTGACAGTGTGGTCAACCCCTCCTTTCGCAAGATCTCTCTAGCAAGTGGCATAGTACTTTTAGACAATACTTCTGCAACTTTTGATGTCATGTGGCACGTCTAGATGGAATTAAGCCACCACACCGGTGTCTCTAGTTGCCCAAAAAGTAGACTAAATTTGGGTAATGATTTATTTCCTACTTTCAACATTTACTTATGTTATTTATTTATTTATTTATATTTTACAATAATTTATTTTTATTTCATATATGTTTCAATTGAAATGAGTAGAACTCATTCAAAACTTGATGAATGATCTTTATTCTTCTTTTGAATCCTCCAAAACTTGTCTAAGATTAAGCTAAGATTATTTCAACTTATTTTTTTATTGATACTTGTAGTTAAATCTTGACATATTCATGTTCCTAATAATGCATAAATAATGAGTATTTTTCTATTTTCGGACATGAAATCACCTAGATTAAAGGTTGATTAATGAGCATTCAATAGTTAAAATTAGTTAGAGATATTCACAGCTGACCTTATGTCATGTGTGTGAATTATCAAGCACACATTCATCCAAGAATAAATTTTAATTACCAAAAGATTAGAAGTTTTAATTACTAGGCTTCATAATTCCTAGTTTGTTGTATACATCACACCAATTGAACAAAAGATTTTTACGATTTAGATCACATCATTAGTTAGCTACAAATTTTACATGAAGTAAATAGTTAAAGAGAAAACAATAGAGGGCAATAGTAAAAATAACAATCATCTTAACTTTTACAACTTACAACAAATCTTTTGGTAGGCTAGGGTAGAATTAAAAGCTAGAGAAGTTGTCTTGCTTCATACATCAATTCAGTCTCGTGCCCTTAAACAAATTTTTTATTGAAACAACCTCATCTTTATGGGTAGACCAAATTCTGAAAATTCTGTAAAACATAAGAGAAAATGCAAGCAAGGTTCTTAAACTAAAGTGATCTGTACATTTCTGAAATCTTATGTTAACTAAAGAGCTTAAGTCAAGTGACTTCCAAAAACGAGTTTTATACTCATCATAAATTTGTTGACCATAATGTTTAAAGTTCAATAAATTTCGTGAACTCTATCATGGATATTAGAATTAGTTAATAGACGAAAAGTTATGTTGATATCATTGACATAGAAGTATCTTGCCAGTTGAAGGTTCGTCTGAAAAAAATTGAAAATTAGTCAATCCCTGTATCATGCACAGGTCGTCACACTGCCTTCTTCCATAGTACTGTTTTTCATAGAAACTCGAGCAGTCAAAAAGTGGTAGAGAAGGTGCTTCTTCCAGATCGTGAATCTGTTTATCAACTAAGTGGTTGGTCTCTTGGTATGGTCTCCTTATCACTTAAGCAGCCTATTTGGGATAGGGCTTTAGCCCCTAGAGCAAGTGATTGCTCAATCAAGGAGCTATGTCTGCACCGTAATTTTACATCTCAGATGATTTCCATATATCCAAAATTATCCTTCATCCTTAATTCTTCATATCCCTTTTTGCTACATAGCACGCTTACAGGACTTTCAGGATTTATTCCAAAACTATTGTACTGTGAGTTCATTAGTATCTTGTATACAAATGACATGAATTCATGAAACAGAATTTAAGCTATGGTTTAAAGTGGAACAGGTAATTCATGAATTCAGAAAGCTTTCCCCCCATCTACCAGTCCATTTAGCTGTATTGAAACTTTCACATGGGCAGGTGATAAAACAATCGATATATTACTTCTATGATTGAGGCTTACGATTTATTGAATAAGATTTAGAAAAACTAAAAACATAGGCTTACGATTTTCAGCAATCAACACATTACGAAATTATATATCTAACTAATTAAGGTCATGTTGCCTATAATTAAAAATTATAGTATGTTTGATCCTTCCACACATGTGTCTTATCACTGTAAAAAGGGTGGAAACGAAGACTTTGGGACCTGAAATTGTTTGGATGATAATAACATCTAGAGAAGGGTAATTTGGTAAATTTATATTTTTAGAATTATATATTTCAATGATCCAGATGGCAATTATTGAAGAAGGTTTTAATTCTATCTAGAGTCCACTCAAAGGAACAAGGGTCAATTGATATACTAGAACTTACAGAGAAATTTACTCAAGGGTAAAATGAATAATATTTATACTTGAACTTGAATAAAATGATCTTAGATGAAATTTTTCTCACATAGGTATGCATTTACTCATTGGAGAGTTAATTGAAAGAGGAACATAATGTAACAAATGAACCATCAAAATTTACAGGCTTCAATTTATATAATTTTTAGAATATGTATAAGCATTTATGAAGTGATTTTGAGGCACTTATGTGGCATTCATTGATGATGGAGATCTTTCAGATATTACCCTTCATTAATTAAGTTATTAAAGTATTCCCCTTCTCTATTAGTGCACTCAAACTAAGTATGAACCATATTAACAAAGTAAATGACTTCTACTATCCTAACCTATTGTTGTGTACTTTTGGAAATGAGCTCAAAATGGGTTTAACAATGTAAAACAAGCTTATAATAATTATGAATTCAGCGACTACAAGTTTCATTAGGCTGTATTAAGTTCAAAGCTGATTTTCCTTGTATTCTGATTGTTTCATGATCATCCAAGTGACTCTCTCTCTCTCTCTCTCTCTCTCTCTCTCCCCCTCATTAATCTGTTCGTCACACTCTTCTTTGGATATGGGTTAAGTTACCGCATGATGTTTCCTAGGTGAATAAGCCAAGTTGGCACCGGCAATTTTCTCACAACCACTCTTTGGAAAATCACTTGGGAGGATCTAAAGAGGATCTGCATAAGATCCCAACCGCCCGGGAAGCTTCTCTATCAATATACGTGTCATCAATATACTAGTCGATGAGCTGGATGATTTTCAGCCGTACATCTTCTTAGGAGACAGCTCCCCCCCCCCCGTCAGATGGGTTCAGAGGGTTTGTTTCCTTGCCAGGTTCTGTGTACCCTCGCCGTGGAGATATCAGCGCTGTCAAAACCTTCTGGTGGCACCACGTCATCGGAGCATATTGATGAAGGCCATTTCGCGTGGTCGGTAGAGAAAATGGCGACCATATCCGGGGTGGGCCCTGTCCCTTCGTTCAGATTTAGTTTTATTAGTATACCAGTATTAAATATATTTGCACTTGTAACTTATATATTTGTATAAATACTCTTCTGAAGTGGACGGCCTCACGAGATGCCTTCTTGGTGGGTACATTCCGGTATATTCCATTGTTTTAGCCTTAATAAAGACCTTACTTATCTCAACGATACTTTTCTTGGACTTATCGAGAAATTATATTTTATTTTTTTAAATTTCACGTAAATTTAAACTAAATTAACATATAAATTTAATCATTATTTTCGTCTTAATTTATATCTCGAGCAGCATACTGAATTTACTTGAAAGAATTCAGAGTAACAAAATGGTTAGGTTCAGATATATAAATGTTGCGATGGTTATTTAACATTAATAATTTAAGAAGGTATAGTTTCATAAAAAAATTAAATATTCAGTGAGACACGCCCCATGAAAGGGTAGGAGGGGCGATCCAAACAAGATTAGATTCCCCTCGTCTCCGTAGATCGAACCAGCGATCGGAACGAGATGGCCTCCGCCGGCGTCAATCTCCTAGCCGCCGCCGTCCTCCTCGCCGTCGCGGCATCTGTCTCCCCCGCCGCCGCCGTGTCATCGTCGGTGAGAGCCGCCACGAGCCTTAGTCGATGGAGATCTCGATCCCTCTCTACCTGCTGAAAACTGCGTACTTTTCCTCTCAATCTCCACAGGCCGACTGCGTCTACACCGTCTATGTCCGCACAGGCTCCATCTGGAAGGGGGGAACGGATTCCATCATCAGTCTCGCGCTAACCGACTCCTCCGGCGCCGGCGTGAACATAACAAACTTGGAGGAGTGGGGGGGGCTGATGGGCCCCGGCTACAACTACTTCGAGAGGGGGAACCTGGATATCTTCTCCGGCCGGGGGCCCTGCCTGGCGGCGCCGCCGTGCTGGATGGAGCTCTACTCCGACGGCAGCGGCCCTCACCACGGCTGGTACTGCAACTACGTGGAGGTGACCACCACAGGGCCACACGTGGCGTGCGCCCAGCAGCTGTTCACGGTCGAGCAGTGGCTCGCTACTGACGCGGCGCCGTATGAGCTGACGGCCTCCCGTGACTACTGCGGTCAGGCAGCCCGCGGCGGAGCAGTGGTGAAGGAGGCGGCGGTGGCTTCGACGACCCTTGTTAATTGACGGTGAATGCTATGTCGAGGTATCATCAAAATGGGATTTTGATCCACCGTTTGGATATCAGAGCAGAAGTCTCCGTATTCGGCCAAGGTTCCTTGGCTTGTTTATAAGTATCTATAATAATCGGCTTCTATAAACTGGATGGATTACATGAATCAAGCTTATTATCATTTTACTCCTGTTTCTTCCCCGATCAATCCCCTTCGAAGTTCGCAAAATGCGAAGAGGACCGCTTCAAAATTAGACAATGATTCAATAAATCTAAATCTTAGAGTCCTTGGTGAAGAAATGGGACCTGTAGTCTCAGCTCTGCAGCTGAGCATTCCCCTATTAAATATTACTTGAATGCAAGATTGATTTACCACATTGCTGAATGAAGGAGATGCATCCAGTCTGAGCGAAGCTTCTCTTCGTCTGTTGTGATCCAAATATCAAATATTTGATTAGGTTCATGATCTATAAGTTCATGATTTCAAGTGAAAATTTAGCCATTCTAACTCCATATGTTATTGTACACTAGTTGATCATCAAGCATCAGCCAATGGAAAGATTGTTTATATGTACCTGATGTACTCAATAGTTTTCCACTACAGTTTTTCATTACCTGATGATACTAGTTGTATCATCAAGTATTGGTAAAGCTGATCGAGGAAGCATTGTGATTTGAAGCACAAAAAATCAATGTATCAAATTCATGAGGGGGATGGAGTTTTTCTTGTATGACCAAGGGTGGTAAATTAAATCATTTTTCCAATCACTTGAGGGCTAAGATAACATTTTATAGTTATAAAATAAACCACCGAGATTAAATCATTTTGGACTACATTGCAAGATTTTGTCTGGACTTCGGGGTCACCTTTAAGATTTAAAATCATAGGGTCATGCGCTTTGCAACTGATTTGAAATTTCTTCTCTTAGTGTGTTCCTAAATGAACAGACTTCCAAGTAACTATGGCATTATGTGTTACCTATGTTCATATTCACTCATGTGAAACTGCTATATTTGCAACATTACTGGTATGTTATTTCATTTATCTAGAGTAGCTTACATTATATATTATCGTCTACATATGTGAGGTCCTTGAGATGATAATCTAGGGGCAATAAGGGATTTAAAGTCATGAGGGTTCTTTCAATGGTCTTATTTCTCTTCGAAACCTCATTGAAAGTATATCTCGTTGAGTCACTTATTTAGAAGTTTAAATGACTAATAATGGAGGAGCATGAACTTTTGTGTGCTTTGTGTTTCTGGTCCATAAATATGTTTTTGTGAATGGAATCCACAAAGAACGGTTAAAATGGGCATTCCCACTCCTTGGAGGTGCCAAAAAAATAACTACAAGAATCTCATTTCCACAAATTTAGCTTAAATCTGAGATAGATGCCAAAAGTAGTGCTAGATTGATTTATTTCCTTCTCAATTTTTAACTATTTAGAAAGTAATGTTCTTTTGCAATAATATACATGTGAAATTGAGATTAACAGAAAAAATAATGTTTCCATGAAAATTATATTCGTAAAAACAATTATTATGACATAGCCTATAATACATAGGTAAGATTGAAAAATAATTGTAGATTGTGGAAGTGAACCTTACCTCAAATCATTCTCCTATTTCCTCAAGAATGATATTCCCTAAGGTCTTGTTACATCGCTTTCACCATTAGCAACTCCAATTCCTTCTTAGTTATAACATATATTGAGGGGCTTAAACCTCTTCATCAACTCCAACTCCTTTAAATAAATGTAAGGAATGAGGACTTTGGCACCTTTGTTGATGGCCCACAAAAATATGTATCACAAATAATGTGCACTGATATGGCCCCCAACAATATGTACCACAAATAAGAGAACTTTAACACGTTTGCTTTCCCTATGTGATAGATTTAGCTCTACTCCCATAGCAGCCATGTTGATGCTTGGTATTGCAACTATATTGAAGTGGCCACCATCAAGCTAGACATGGTATTTGCCTATTAGTACTTCAACATTAAGTAGTAGTGGCTAGAAAGGATCAAGTAAAAGGCATCTGGGATCACATGGGCTTGGAGAGAATAATATATTGGGCCTTAATGGGTCTTTGACAGTGACACATCCACCACTATGGTGAGTAGATGGTAAGGTACTATGCCATTTGTCCTTTGCCTCTATGCATTTTTCTAACTCCATGATACATGAGGGGAGGGCCACCACTCAAAGGTTGTGTGTGGGTGTGTATTGGTGTTGTCATGCCAAATGATGTAAAACTGTCTTCTTTTGGTCCCCAGATACCTCAATGAATTAAGGGGTTGTTAGCTCTTGGCTTGCACTAGAATGAAGAAAAGGGCGGTAGAATTCATTCACATCTAGTTCTCTTGGTTAAAAAAATTTATGTTGACAACATGAGCGATTTTCTCACTATCCCTTAATTGTCTAAAATTTAAACCAAGGTTGTATGGAGGCAAAATATTTTATAATGGTTTAGCCTCCTACATATGTGCACTATCCAAGAATAACTTTGCTCTTAGATTTTGATGATTCTCTTAATTATATGATTAAAGATATTAGTTTTTATGTGTTTATGCATTATTTAAAAAAGTTATACATATTGATATAATTTTCAGAAAAAAAAAGTTTTATCCATTTACATTAATTTATTGATATTTATTTTAAAATAAAAGGTTAAATGTGATCGCAAATTATGTTGGTTAAATGTGAATTTTTAATATTTAGAATTATGGAATGAGCTGAGATTTTTTCTAAATTTTCTGTATTTTTTGGATTTCAGTTTGAAGTTTAAGTAATTTTTCCGAACTTTTAAGATGTTTTATGAATTTTCACGAATTTATTATGATGAACATAATAAAATAATAACAAGGGGAGCGACCGGTTGACCGTTGACCCACCTGTCGCGCGGGGAGCCGATTGGAAAAATCGGAAAAATGTCGGGAAAATCCGGAAAAATCAGAACTAAACGAAGGATGTTACTAAAATCGTGAGTTCTCCATAAATATTTGTCACATTATTCTGAAATTTGAAAATAAGTTTTTTTACTTATTGATAAATGATTATATATAATAAAAATATCATTTCTGACAGGAATTGGAGTGTGAAACGAGAGTCAAAGACTGAAGACGAAAAATAAGGAAAAATGGTTAAATCTAAACTAAATAAGAGATTTTCGGATCTAAGGAAGGAAAAAAGGAGGCTCCTTGCTCCTCTGGAGAGGGGGGGTGGTGGGCTGGAAGCCAGGAGGCAAGGAGGCACAGAATGGTAAGGGAGAAGGCTGAAGAGCAAAGGAAACAAGGAGGGGGGTCTCAAAAGTAAGAGAGCTGCAATCAATAGAGCTCATTGCATTTTTTATTATTGTTTCATTTCATTTATCTTTCGGTTCTTTGGATGAAAGACATTGATCAGAAAAACTTTACTTTAGAATTCATTTAATTTAATTATCTCATTGTTCTCATTTTCTTTGGTGGCAAATAAGAAAGGAGAAGACTTTCTTTTTTTTTTCTTAGTTTTCATCATTACGAATTTAGTTAAAAATCATATTTTAATTACTTGCAATTTCTTTTATCATATTTGGGTGATAGACAAGAAAAGGTAGAGATTTGTATTCAACGTCATAAGATTTAATTTATATTTTATCTTTAATTCAAAGCTCTATTAGTTCTAAAGCACTTTCCCACATGACAAACATCAAAGTCTCATTTTGCTTTTAGAATTTTTTTTTGATCACGAATTTAATTATTTTAGTTTACCCTTGGTTGAAAACCAAGATTTTTCTATATTTAATTTATTTTATGTCTTAATTGTAATTATTTCAAGACATTATCTAAGTCAATAGAAGTAATTCTATTGACAACCACTCTTTCATCTTTTCATTTCATAATTTCTAATCTATTTTCCTCTATTCATAATTTAATCATCTCATCATTGAAACCCTTGTTCTGATTATCTAAATTTGATAAGAGAAATAAATTTATAAAATTAATTGGGGAAGGAGGATATTAAGTATTGAAGAGAAAATTACATCATTTCTCTCATCCCATTTCATTTTGTTCATTCTTTTAGTTAGTGTTTCTGTTATAAAAATTAGAAATGAATTAAAAAAAATATCACCTTTTTAAGGATTGACTTGAACTTGCACTAATACTAGAATTTATTTAGAGAGTTTAGTTATAAAATTTGTTCAATTTGCATCCATCAAAACCAACGACTAATGCATGCTCAGATTCCACTGGTAACGATTGTCCTCCAATCATACATCAATAACCACCAAGTAATAAAATATTACCTCAAAATTTCTTAATATATTTTCGACTACAAGAGTTCAACAACTATTTAAAAGAATACCTCTCACAAAGGATTAAGTTATACTTGAATCATGAGTTTATCTCACAATAGATGAAATACTTTCATTGTTGGTAGTTTTCTAAAGGATGGTGTAGAATTCTAGTAGAAAGGATTATGATAAAACAAAATCGAGGGTCATTGAAAGCCCCAAAATCAATTGATCAAAAAAAAAATAGAATCATGAATTTATCAAATGAAACTACTAAAATAAATAAGTATTGCAGTAAGTTCAAGGTCAATCCATAGGGAATGAGGATTAGGCGTTACTTAGTTACTATTTAATTTGCTGATAGATTTTAATTCAAATGAACTCAAGAGAAAGGCGACTGCGAGTAGCAATAATTTTCACTATCAGAAAAGGGGAAAACAAAAGTTCAGCAATGTAGAAGATGATTAAAAAAGAGAAAACACTCACAAACGATTCACGAGATAAAGTTAACACCATACTTCTATCAATTCAACCTAAGGAAGCTAGATTGTTGTTCACACTTAGAACACATCAGACCTGGAGAAACTTACCTCAGGCCTCTATATTTCACCAAGGTCAGGCAGTTTCCTCTTCGAGTATGCTTCTGCGATGATCTCAGTTGCAAAACAAAGCTTGAATCAACTCAAAGCCATCAAGATTGATGCGGAACCTCAATGTGGTTTCATTCAGCCAACTAAAC